GGACTAGGTCCTGGGACTCGGGACTCGGGACTGAGATGGGTGCTGAGATTCGTGAATCTTGTCATAATGGTCTGAAAAGACTCTGAATACATTCAACACGTCGAGCAGTCCAAAAAAATCTGGTCAAATTCCCATCTGAATAGTAGATTGCTGTGCAGTGGAGCGACGCTTTATAACTAGCCTCTATTCAAAGCTGCTGTCAGTGAGATCCTTGGCGCGTATGAGTGAGTTGTCGCCCTCACTGTCTCGGCTCTTTCACTTGTTCGCCTGAACATATGGTTAAGGAACAATTTTGCGACTGCTTAATGGTATGGATTTGAAGAATGGCCTATCTGGTATCCCGAAAAGAAAAAGGGAAAAAAAAAAGAAAGAAAGAGAGAATTGCCTGTCTGGTTGGCTTGTTCACCGCAGAATCAAAGTTTTCTGAATGCAAGGTTCTTATTAGCTTTCCAGATAGCCAGCCTGCATTTTTATTTTTATTTTTTTCTGACCACCATCACTTTTCAGGCCAGAAGGCAAACTTGTAAATATGAGCTTACCGCATTCTTCGGAGACTGGTGGAGGATGGGCGCCACCGGACCAAAATCGCTGGTGGCAGCAGCCAGAACAAAACAAAAGAGGTCACACTGGTGCTTCAGCAGAAGCTCAGAGGCCGGTGCAGGCCAGGCGCCAGCCAGACAAAAAACAAAAGAGTTCACACTGGTGCTTCAGCAAAAGCTCAGAGGGCGGTGGAGGCCTGGCGCCACTGGACCAAAATCGCTGGTGGTGCCAGCCAGAACAAAACAAAAAAGGTCACACTGGTGCTTCGGCAAAAGCTTGGTGCACAGTTGAACTCCACCTCGGTAAAAAGAGCCTCGGAGATAGTGGTGGTTTAAGCTGTTCAGAAAGGCAGACATGCTGCACTTGATCTTTTAGCCAAGTGCTGGACTACGCTTGGTTAGCTGCGCTGCTGGAGACCGCTAAGACATACCTAGCCATCAAGATGTTTATGGATCACCAGGTTAGAGATTTCGGCTACTGAGATGTCAGATTCACAAGTGAATTGTAGAAGAAGAAGACCAAGGAACAGATTGGCTCCCAGCTGCGAATGGTATTTGGGAAGCCTCCCGAGGCTAACGGGCAGGCTGAACAAATGAATCAGGTAGTCCAACAGTTGCTGCGGCACTACATAAAGCCCAGCAGGAACATATTTGTCATCGTACACAGATTCTCTTAAGTACGCTAAGCTAGCTGCGCTGCTGGAGACCGCTAAGACAGAGCTTAGCCATCAAGATTTTTATGGATCACTGGGTTAGAGATTTTGGTTTGCCGAAGTCCATTGTCAGTGATCGAGATGTCAGATTCACAAGTGAATTGTGGAAGAATTCCGTGGAACAGATGGGCTCCCAGCAGCAAATGACATGCGGGAAGCATCCCGAAGCCAACAGGCAGGTTGAACATATGAATCAGGTAGTCCAGCAGTTGCTGCAGCACTACACAAAGCCCAGCAGGAACATATTCGTCATAGTAGACAGATTCTCTAAGTACGCTAGGTTAGCTGTGGTGCTGGAGACTACTAAGACAGACCTAACCATGAAGATGTTTATGGATCGCTGGGTTAGAGATTTCGGTTTGCCGAAGTCCATTGTCAGTGACCGAGATGTCAGATTCACAAGTGAATTGTGGAAGAATACCGCGGAACAGATGGGCTCCCAGCTGCAAATGACATGAAGATGTTTATGGATCACTGGGTTAGAGATTTTGGTTTGCCGAAGTCCATTGTCAGCAACCGAGATATCAGATTCACAAGTGCATTGTGGACGAAGACCGCAGAACAGACAGGCTCCCAGCTGGAAATGACATCTGGGAAGCATCCCGAAGCAACCGGGCAGGCTGAACAAATGAGCCAGGTAGTCCAGCAGTTGCTGCGGCACTACACAAAGCCCAGCCAAAATGACTGGGATGAGAAGCGTCCTCTCGTCTCCAGTTTGTACAACAATACTGTGCATAGTACAACCAGTCGGACACCAAATCAGCTGCATGTTGGATGGAAGCCCAGGACACCGTTAGATTTTCTCCTCCTTGACAGTAGTCCAGCTGCTGCACCAGTAGCATAGAAATTAGCATA